GGCCGAAGCGCTTTGATTGATGTAGCTACGAAGGGTCGGAAAAGCAGCGCGCTTCCTGTCAAACATCCTCCTTGGCGGAGCTCGTATAACGATAAGGCGTAACATGCTAATGGTAAGGTATGCCTCTGTGCATACACCCCAAACCATTGCAAAGCGATAAGGAATCAGAAGAGCGTGTAGGCTGTACATGCTAGTACCCTGCTGGTAGCATAAAAGATCCATAGGACCGAGAAAGATACAGTAGGCTGCAAATCCTGTAGCCGCAACCGCTCATTGTCACGTGTTTGAGTTGGAAAGTGGTCCGCGCGACGGCGTTCATTGTACTGATGTTCACCTAAGTAGTGGAGATTCCTGCTAGATCACATTCACGTTGAGATGTTTGGCCTTTGAACCGAAGGAAACGGAAGACGAACAGAACCATACCAGCATGCAACGGACATGACCAGTCTTGTTCGAGGAAAGCCACTGTATCCCAATGCTGCATGGGATTCGCAGGCAAATGGCATTGCCCGTGGTCAGTGGTTGCTCGGCGTCAAGGCTGTGGGGAGGGATGGGTAATGAGTAATGGCGAGGACTCGTAGCTGAAATTGTAAGAATGGTAGCGCAGCTGCCCTCCTGAGAAAGTGTCTCATGATCTGGATTCTTCTCCAAACGACGTAGGGACCCTCGTAATTCCTTCGTACTCTGCAGGTATTCCTCAAGTCATCTTGGTTCCTCTCCCAAACCCTACACATCCTAATCCATGTAGTGTAAACCATCCTAGACCACAATCCCCAAACTCCAAAACTCTAGCCCCTAAACTCAACAACACTAAACCCTAATCCAAAATACCGGTACATATGCGCGCATATATATATATATACAATTATGTGCACCTTGTACGCCTATTGCCTGTTGAAAAAACACCCAAAGCCCCCCTAAACCCTAAACCTTAAACCCTAAACCCTAAACCTTAAACCCTAAACCCTAAACACCCAAAGCCCCCTTACCCCCATAGTCACCTTTTCCAGGCAGCGCAAGGTGCCCTCCTGGTGCAGCTCATCACCTGGGTGCAGCTGGTCGAAGGTGCTTTTCAGGCCAGCCGGGGAAACGGAACAGAAGAGGTAAACTACTGACATATTTTGGGTTTATGTAGGGGTAGGTGGGGGAATGGAAAAGAAAATGAACCACGAAAGTATGTAGGGTTTTGGGGTCTGGGGACACTATTTTGGGGGTGCCTATGGCTAGTATTCGAAGAGTTTGGGGAATGGAAAAGAAAAGGGAAGACTACAAGGAACGCTCATGTGAGAGACAAATGAGTGGGCAATTCTTTAAACTAAAGTAATCCCTAAACCCTAAACCCTAAAAAGGATTTGGGGCTAGTAGGGTTTATAGGATTTACGGTTTTGGGGTTGGTTTTGGGGTTGGGTTTAGGCTCAGGGTTGCGGGGTCAAGGTTAGGGAAAGGACCACATAATGCACATGACAGGAAGCTGGAAACTGCAGGAGGAAGATGGGAGAAGGGAAAAGCAACTTGAAACTACTAAGTTATCTAGGGTTTTCATGGTGGAGAAACATGTTCTTACTGTGAGTTAGCACGGAATATGGGAAGATATCATACAGGGCCCGCTCATTCCCTTCTAAGGACCAGTAAGTTTCGTCATGCTAAACGTGTCTGGCGCTGTCGAGGTGCCACCGGATCCGGACGATGAGCAGGAGGTTGCTGGGTTGCTGTTAAGGAACTTAAGCTCAAGTCAATATGATGGGGAAACCATATTAAGTAATATATATATATATGTCCGCTATGGTAACTTGACTTAAGTTGCTATTTTGGGCAAACCATACTAAGTACTATGTATACCCATTATGGTAACTTAAACCCTCAACCCTGCACCCTAAAACCCTACACCCTAAAAACCCTACACCCAAAATCCTACATAAAAACCCTACACCCTATATACACATTAGGGTAACCTAATTCAAGTTCCTTAAACAGCAGCCCAGGTTGAAGATGAGGTTGAGCAGAAGGCGCAGCCATGCATCTGCTGCCATACGGTTTAGGGCTCAGGGGTTTAGGTGCGGTTTGGGGGCTTTCAGGCCCTAAAGCCTATAGTCCCCCTTAAGTAGATAGAATTATAGGGGTTATATGGGGATAATGAAAAAGAAAATGGAAACTACTATTTAGGGTTTCGAGTTTAGGGGTTTATAGTCCCCCTTAAGTAGAGAGAATATGGGGGTATATGGGGATCCTATTAGAATATACCTAAAGCAATAATTCTATCTACTTAAAGGGGACTATAAACCCTAAACCCGAAACCCTAAATAGTAGTTTCCATTTTCTTTTTCATCATCCCAATATAACCCCTATAATTCTATCTACTTAAGGGGGACTATAGGGCTTAAAACTGCCGCCCACAAGCTTTCGCGCGCCAGTAGATTGAGGAAAACCTCTAGGGGAGCCTCTTCAGGGCTTCATATGGCCTCCTGAAGGATTTAGGGGTTAAGGGTTTAGTTTTTAGGGGTTTAGGGTTTAGGGTTTAGGGGTTTAGGGGTTTAGGGTTTAGGGGTTTAGGGTTTAGGGGTTTAGGGTTTAGGGTTCAGGGCTGTGGGGTCCCCTCCTTAGGGCTTCCTTCACAAGCAGAGCGCCAGCCTTCATTTTCTGAAGAGCAGTACTCAGTGGTTCTTCCTAGGCATTCCTAGGCAATATATTATACAGGGATTATATTCCCTTATTCCCTACTGACCAGTAAGCTATATAAAGCCCAACAAATTACAATCCTTATCATAGGGGAAACCGCCAATTATCAAAAATCCGGTTGATTAATATTTTTGGGTGTGCATCCGACCAAAAACCAGCTTGCAAGCGTGGTAAGGGGCTACAATAGTACCCCCTCCCTCCGCAAGGTATCCCTCTAGGTTTTTAAGAGCTAATGAGGACGATATAGGGCTTAAGAAGGCTTAATAGGGCCCTAAATCTGCGCGGGGGATACCTTTGGAGGGGGAACCCTATACTCCTTGGGGGGGGTACGAGTATAATCCCTTGCATGGCTGCCAGGTGATGGAGAGCTGGAAGAGACAGCAAGGCATGGCTTAGAGATCCTGAAGCCAGATTTGGGATTTGGGGTTTAGGGATGAGTTTGGGGTTCGTTGACTAGGGTTTAGGGTTTGGGGATGGGACCAGGGTTAGGGATATTACCTATACTGGAGAATCAAAGGGAAAAGAACATGACATGGAAGCTGGGTATATAGGGGTTTATAGGGAGTATGCAAGCACTGTCGGGTCGCACAGGGACCACCCATTGGGCTTCTGTTAAGGAACTTGAATTATAAACTACTCTGCCATAAAGAAACCTGCTTAATAGCCATCATATGGTAACTCATTTTCCGTTCCTTATCAGCAACCCAGTTAAGGGTAGTGGTCCCTGTTGTAGTTGAGTATAGTTGAGTATCGTCCCTAATTCATTCCCTGAACGGAGTGCATGTCCATTGAACATTTGTGAACATTGACTGTTGATCCTGAACGTTTCTCCTTGCCTGACGGAACATGATCTTGTCTCTACTAGTGCACAGGGGCCCTGCACATGTTCCCACGCGTGATGTGGGTATTTAGTCCTTTCTATCTTTAGGGTCCCTAAGGGCCCCCATTCCCGCCGCTGCGCAGAACTCCTGCTGGACCTGATCCGCCTGACGCAAACGGACTTAGCAAAGCCCGACAGGCAGAAGGCCGCTGCTGATTCATTTTGGATTCCTACTTGCGGTGTTTGGGGAGTACGAAGACGTATAGCAGTCCCTTTACAAAACCCCTTTCGGGACAGTTTCTTTGAGGATCATGACCCACTCTTCTTCCTGTTGTCCTGTTGTTGGGGGAAACACGTTTCTCGTTCTCAAGACTACAGGTGGCACCATTCAGGACGGGCATTTCCAATACTGGGTCTCTTGAAGAAATCTATCCTCATGACAGGGACACCCACACATCCAAACTCTCATATGAGACATGTCAGGTCATGTGTGCCATCACACTGGACGCCCACAACCGCGACGTTCAGGACGCTTGTAGGATCCTGTAGGGTACAGAAGCCAATCAGCCCTAATGTGCAAGACTCGTTTCTTTCCCGTCTTGTTCACTGACAGTTTCTGTATACGTCTAGTGAACCCCAACTGCTTGTAAAAAACATGTAGGCCCCTACATTGCGCATCAGCACCGATGTGTCTTGGACAGTGCTTCCACCTTTGTCTACCTGGTGCTTAGTTCAGAACGAGGGAATACATCACCAACGTCGTCCCTATATGATACCCCAAGGGTCCAAGGACCCGAATACCATAAATACTTTATTATTTGGGCCCTAAAGCCCTGTTATTTGGGTCCTTGGACTCTTCGAGATTTTCATGCATCCTTGAAGTCCTGATATTCCACTCCTTCCTCACTGAAAACCAACCCTAACCTGCAGTAGTTTCATGTTCTTTCCCATTTTGCTAGCATGGTAGTTTCCATAGGTAGCGCAACACCAATATAGACCCCCCCAAAATATTATGATCTTTATGTTACGACTCCCTGAAAGGTACGCCTGATTTTGACAATCCCGCGTTTACTCATGTACCCTCAAACCCTAAACCCTACACCAGTGAGTTGTTGCCAGGAGCGGCTGGTGAAGGACAAAGTCACCACAGCCGATGCTTTCCAGCAATGGCCCAAGACTTTCTGCTGCTTAAGCGGGAGTGGGGGAAGGTTCATAGACACTACTGTTACACATGGGGTTCTGTATAGTGGTGATACAGGTATAGTCCGGTAGAGAGACAGGGATCCACTCCCCCACTTGCCCCTAAGCCTTAAGCACCAGCAAGAAACAGCACGGCATAGAATTTTGGGTAGTACTGTCTACAGTCATGACCAGCTTGCAGCCCACAGTCTGTGAACCTACCATTTGAAATGACGCCAAGTGTTTTGTGACTGCTTACCTTTTAGGGAGATATGCTGTCGTTGAACTCTCCACCAAAGCTGCAGCGAATTGGAGGTGGCAGAGCATGCTGAAGTGCTACTGGGTTCCGGACTGCACGAAAGTGTCCAAGCCAATCAGCATTTTGCAGCATGCCTGGTGACTTGCTCAAGTGCCTAAGAAGCTGCTGTATACTTCGCAGGATCCGCCGGGTGAAGGTGCAGCACAGATGCAGATCTGCGACGCTCGCATTTGGTGCGCTCCCCTCCCCTAAAATGATGGAAGTTGATGTGTTAAACATACATCAAAGAAGTTCATGACGGTGAGCTTTTTCAATAAGTTCTTGGGTTTCCCTGCCCTATCAGGCCTGTGCGCCGCTGCCAACAATAAAGCAATGTTGGACTGATATTGCTTCATGGGACGGGGCTTGCAGTCAGGTATGCCTACGAGTATCTGGGAAATGGCCCTCGACTAGTGGTCACGCCGCTCACCGACCGCATCTATGTCACGGCCACGCAGGACACCAGCTGCGCGTTCACAGACTCTTCCTATGTGGGTATTTGGTGATGGAATGTTATAGCACCAAAACCTGTCTTGCGAGGCCCTGCACCTCAACATGGGCTGCGCACCTGCGGGACCAGCAGGAACAGGCAAGACAGAGAGCACAAAGGACAGCAGCTTGCTTGTTCTTCCTTTTGCATAGGCTCTGCACAGTGCTTACTGAAAGCAGCCATGGCACTTTGCAACTTTGTCAGATGGTCCTTGCAAGGATCTTGCCAATGCTTTGGCACGCGCCTGCTATGCCGGGAGTTGAGATCTCGGCCATGTTGCATCATGCCCACAAGTCGTTTTGCCATTGAGGTCATCAATGCAGCCCCTGAGATGGCTCGTGACTCAGTGCAGTGCACATGGGAGTTTCCCAAAGGAAGGGGGACCCAACATAGACCCCAACATACTATGATCCTTATCATGGGCCCCTAATTCTAGGAAACCCCCACATGCTCTTGAGGTTGCCACTGTTGACACTTAGTTTCGCACCACGAGGACTACTTGACCTTGGGCAACATCTTTAAGGGTCTGGCTGCCAGTGGCTCGTGCTGGTCCCAGCTATCGGATTGCTTTTGTGGCCATCTGAGTGTAGTCGCCAAATATAGGGAAGATTACCCCAATAATGGAGAAGCAAATGAAACAGAACATGACATGGGCAATTAAGTGGAAACCAGGTTCACATGGGGATCATCTAAACGGTTGTCTATTTAGGGGCTATGATGAGATGGAAACTATTATTTCACAGGTTATGCACGTAGAATATCTCGGGTGCAGCCCCACTCACTAACAGCTGAAAATATTCATAATATAACTATATGGAGCAATTAATATGACCCCTATTTTGAACTGTTAATGCGTGGGGGCAGGCCCCAACCTAAACCCTAAACATAAAACCCTAACCCTAAATAGTAGCTTTTCCATTATCCCTGTATGGCCCTATTATATACCCTATTATAACATAATAGTGTCCTTTTTCTTTTCCATCATCCCTGCATAACCCTATTATGCCCTGGGGTGGGGGCAGGACCCGAAGAATATCATCTTTGGCTCATGCCCAGGTTGGGCTGCTTCGACTCCTAGTATCCCCCTTAATAATCGCTATAGTAGTCTTCTATATAACCCCCTTTGAGGAGTTTAGACCCTAAACCCTAAACCCTGTATACCCCCCCTTTAAGGAGTTTAGACTACAGCTCAGGTGGGGTTGCTTCGACGAGTTCAATCGTCTGGTGCCGGAAGTCCTTTCCGTCTGCACGGTACAGTTCAAGGCCCACATGTATTAATCCAAATAGCCCAAGGTAGGTAGGGTTTAGGGGTTAGGGTTTAGTGGTATAGGGTGTAAGGCTTAGGGTCTAGGGGTTTGCGGGCTTAGGGTTTAGGGTGTAGGGCTTAGGGTTTAGGGCTTTGGGGCGGGGGAATATTAGCAGAGTTTAGGGCCCAAAGTAGGTGTTATTTGTGAACATGGGCCCCCAGGGCTGTCAAAATCATGGTCCCTTTGTGTCCCCCATTACATATAGTACGGCCCCTAATGTTTACACGAAAGAGGACCACAAGATACCATAAGTGGTAACTGTAGTCTCTTCAGGATAATACAGCCCTAAGGAAATTATTGCAGATAGCCAGATAGCTGATGAAAGTTTCATTTTACGTCTAGGGGATTACCGGCTAGAGGTAGCGCAGTTTGTGCATTGAGTGTACACTGTTGGATTCAGGGGCGACAGAGGAGTGATGCATAGCCGCAGTTCTAGCGACTATAAATACAGGGAATAAACAATATGGACATAAATAGAGTTGCATGGCGGCAGCATCCCAACAATGGAGAATGAAGCTTTGCTCAGCCCCTCGGAAGCTTACACTACTATGATAGATGACACTCGTGTTTTGTGATATGCTAACCCTAAATTGTAAACCCTAAACCCAAACCCTACATTGCAAAGTCCGTGGCTGTATAGGCTCGGGAAGAACCTCCCAGTAGCCTGCTTTTAATCCAGCGAACCGCAATGCTTTTCCGTGCGCATGCCTCGGTCGGAATGCGAACTTGGGGCTTATTGTGGTTGCTAGTGCTGTTTGTGGTTCTGTTGTAATAGACATGATGGATCCAGAACAGCGATGCGCTGCCAAGGTGCACTTGGACCGATGGGTCCTCTTTTTGTTACTGGCGTCCTTGCGCCCTGAGGTGCGCTGGAACCTGTACAATCGGGCCTAGAAGAGGAGCACCCCTCGTCTCGTACAATGTTCTCGACTTGTTTCAGAAGGAAGCATGTGCAGTCGTAGCCAGCATGGCTTTTTGTTCTGAAAACGCATTTTTCTTGCCCTTTTTCGATGGCCTGTACTCTTGGCCCTCCCCCAAAACAAACTTTGTAAACCACCTCCACGAAGATGTTGGGATACCGTTTTGTGGGAGGGGGCTTGAGAGGTTTTGGATTACGATGGATCTGGGGCCTTTAGAAAATGATAGATACGTACTTCTCCGTCCCCTGTGCTACTGAGCACGTGTTCTTGGGACGGCTTTCCGCCATGAGTTCACCTAGTTGCGAGCATAACTGAGACACGAGGATCCCAATGAGACTATTTCTGAACATTAGCAGTCTAAGAAGCCATCTGAGCTATAGTCTAAACTCCTATAATCCCTGTGACTAACCGCTACAGTAGTCCCCTTTATAACCCCAAGTAAGGAGTTTAGACTCTATAGCTCATCTGGCATCCGTCTACAGGCTTCATACTCTTCATCAGGGCTACATGTATTCTGAGAGCACGGTTTAGAACCCTGAAGGCTTCAACTCAGGAAGCAAAGCTTGCTAAGCCTCACCAAACCACAGCCTAAGCCCTTAGCCTCAGAGCCACTGAAGCTCGGTGAAGTCCTACCAATCCCTAGGGATCCATGTACACAANNCCCTAAAGTCTGTAAATATTACCCATATTGGGCTATTTGGATCCCTATAGGGAATGGTTTAGGGTTTAGACCCGAATCTTGAGATTTCAGCCCAAAGCTCCTGGCCGTGGGTGGCAGGTAGCAGTCTCCAGGGACTTCTATGAGACTGACTCTACTGCGTCCCTGTCTCAGAGTATGAGTGACTATGCGATTTGAGCTTTAAGTGCTACCCCCCCAAAGGGGGGGTAAAATGATAGCCCAAGACCCTTAAATACAGCCAATAAGGCCATTATTCTACATATTTCGGGGTTCAGTTCAGGTATAGGGTTTGGGATTCAGGGCTTAGGTTGAGGTTCAGGGTTTAATTACTTAGGCCCTGGGCTTCGGATTTCGGCTTTAGCGGATCTATGGTGATCTTAGAGGACACTGCGCAGGGATGTGTAGGCGTCAATGCTCACAGCTTCAGGTTCAGTGATCTGTGGGCTTTAGGAAGGCTCTTAAAGAGAAGTGTGTGTGTGTGTGTGACAATTGTGCAAGAGTGTTTAAGCCATCCTTGAGGAATCGGGGGGCTTGGGGTCGGGGATTAGCATCGCTTAGGTTCTCAAGAGTCCTTACAAAAGCCTTAATGGGCATCATATTCATTGGGTTATCCCTGCATGTCTCCAGGGTCCCTTCAGCCATTGAAGTTCAGCCGAGATTCCGTCCATCCGCCCTAATCCTAAACCCTATCTGTCCGTGGTATCCCCAGTTTGACAGGGTTGCTGTTAAGGAACTTAAATTGATTTACCACAAGAAGGAACTCCTGCAACTTCCTATACTATATACACCCATACTATTGTAACTTGGTAATTTAGGTTCCTTAAGTAACCTAAATCCTAAACCCTAAATCTTTGAATCTCCCTAAACCCTAAACCCTGATCACTAAACCCTAAACGCTAAACCTTAAGGAGCTGTGTGGACTTGCTGCAAGTTGGCCTGCAGATGCGGGGGCAGCTAGGGCTGGCTGACGCCAAGGCTGGTGTGTCTCAGCTGGCTGGGGATTCAGGGTTTCGGATTAGGGTTTAGGGTTTAGGAATCAGGGTTTAGGGTTTAGAGTTTGGGATTCAGGGTTTAGGGATTTGAGCAAGCATCTAAATGGTAGCATTTTGTAGCAGTACTGCAGAAGGAAATCAGTGCAATGAGCTGAGGAAGCGATACC